CTATTTAGCTTCTGATGGCATTGACGTCTTTATTTGCCGTAATGTACTTGCCATTGTCGTTCTTGCAGCAGGCGCATTCACTTGGAGAAGGTCGACTTCATCTCTTTAACGGTTTCATTTCAACCACGACATCTTAAATAATATCTTCGAAAAGTTTTTGCTTTCAGGCATGCACTACCTGTTCCTGTTCCTCGCCGCAGCCGGAATGCTTTTTCTACAATTTGTACAACGAAATCTCGTTGAACAAATGCTACCGGTAATGGAACACTGTTTCGTCTGAAAAGAATAATCTTTTCTAAGTAACGGGTTTTTTTTTGCGAATTCTGAGTTATCAGCGAGTTGTATCGCTGATCATACTAAGAAGTCTGGAAGCCGCTTCTGGGATTATAAAAGGATTATGATGTGTGATGAAATCAGAGGAAGTGATGACATCCTCACATGTCTGTCAATGAACATACTCTATGATGTATCAGTGATGAACAGCATTTTCGGAATTTGTTTCCAAGCCAAAACAACAAAATTGTAATGAGAATTCCTCAGCTGGTATAAATGTAGATACTACCTGCTAATAGCCATGGCGCAACAGACCACCTTAACTTTGAAGAAGATTTGCTGTCCAATCAATCGCGAGCATTTGTGAAGTTACGCATGTTTTGCTAGCCCCTGCAGTAATTTCTTTAATAGTCTCGGCAAATTTCCACTTTTGGTTAAGAAGGAAAATGTAGTCGAACGGAGATATTTAAATTCTAAGATAATTTTAATATTGTTCAAGGAGTCCTTCTGGAGGTATAACCCCAAATTGACTTTCCTCCAGTAGTTGGACAGCTCTGATAAGCAAAAGTCCTTGGGATTTTAATGGCGATTCAAAGCAGGCTAGCTCTGGTGGCTCCTTTTTAATAATGATATCATTTTTAAAAAACAGTTCATAAACGACTAATTTTCGCCACTATCCATTCGCAAAAAGTGAAGCAATGAGCAGTTAAATGACTGATAGACATTTATGTGTACGCCTAACCGGCTGATAAGCTTTTATTGACAACAATTATCAAAGGGTATCTCTCAGAACACTCCTTGAACTAATCATAACCATAACCGTAAAAGCATAGTGAACTACGATACATTTTTAGCCCAAATACAACAAAAATGTTGCCACTATTTAAAATCTGTCACGCTTTTGATGCGTGTTCAACGGCATTCGAGGCGTTAATGACTATGTCACTTCATTCACATCAACAAATTATTCAATTGGCTAAACTCTCGAATCTTCCTGGCTAAAAGGAAAGAATCAAGGGTTAGGACCTCAAAAAAACTTCGATAATGCTGTTCTCATCGAGGAAATAATTATGTACTCAGAAATACATGTTTGCTCAATAAATAACTATTGTTTAAATGTTGTTGCAATAATTGGATGTTTTACACTTGAATTACAAGCACAACTCTCAAAGGTAGTTGATCTGCTCTTGACTCTTTTATTTCTTATCTCATTTTTTT